CTTCCAAAAGATTTCTCCAAATTTAGAAAAATCCAATGCAATTAGAAACTAATAACATGAATAAATATTCATTACTAAAATATTATAATAAGTAACAAATATATTGAATATAACCATATACACCTGTGCCTGTACAGAGAGCTGGAGGTTGTTGTTTTCTTCTATCAGATCAATCAAAGTTAGAAATTTCTTGTCCTCATAGTCAAACCGATCCCCAAAGACAATGGAGCAGATGATGTTGGAAACAGCATGAAGTAGGAATCTGCCAGGGTTGAAGGGTTGCCCTGCAACAACAACCGAAAAAGGTATTTCAGATATCATCCCCTGCCCTGACACTACAGGGTGGTTTCACATCCTCTTGAGAGCCAGAGTTTTACAGTGCTTTGAAAGGATAGTGAAGAGCTTATCCAATTTATTCTTCCCTTCTTGAAGTGAACTAATTTTCCTGATAGAGTGGTTTAAGTATCTCTTTTGTCCTGTTCTCAGCAGAGCACTGGTTAGAGTGCCTTAGTTCAGCTGGCATGTCTGTCTGCCTCACCGTCTATTAGAACTGGCTTAAAGAGTCCCTCAAAATCCCAATGAGACCATGAGGACTTTGCCTGAACCATGTTTTTTGCTTATTGCACTCTGTTTATGAACTCTTATTAGCATAACCTCAGTTGTATAACCCTGTCCTAGAGGTTCAAATACCTGTGATCAAAGTCTAGTTTCGATAGCACAGCTGCATAAACCTCTAAGAAGGGAACTATGGTGTAAGAAAAAAGCAAGATTAGACCCAAGAAAGAAAGGAAAGGTATAATTACACACATTGATAGGGTGTGTCTCAAGGTTTCAAGAAGAGAACAATGTGAAAAGGCAAAAAAGTCTTGAAAGAAAAACAAGGAGTCAGAAAATGTCAACTTGTCAGCATTGGGGACCAGCCTGTTCCAAGGGGGAAAGGCACCAACCCTTCTCTGCTTGATGGGTGACACCCTGGCCATTGAAGACTCAGCATTAATGTCTCACCAGAGGTGGTGAGTATACTAATGCTGAACCTAGAAGATAATAGTTATAGCTATTTATAATTTGCATTAAGGGCAAATAATGGCTTTTTATTTTCAGTGGTATATATCTTGCCTGCAAAGCCTTTCAGTACACAGTAAAAGATGCTGTAACAAGGTGAGGCAGAGTTGGAGGCTTGCACAAGGGTACAGTATTACCATGCCAGTCAAAGGGTAAAAGCAATGCAGGTGAGAGTGTTTTCTCTGGTT